TCAACCTATTCCTTTAGGATGGAAATGTGTTTGGGGACTGTTGGGGTAAGTTAGAATTACTATTGTTATGTTGACACACCATGACCAAAAGCAAGTTGGGAAGAAAAGGGTTTATTTGGTTTACACTTCCACACTGCAGATCATCCCTAAAAAGAGTCAGGACAGGAACTCAAGCAGGGCAGGAACCTAGAGGCAGGATCTGATGAAGAGGCCATGGAGGGATGCTTCTTACTTACTTGTTTGCTCCTCAGTTTTCTTCTAGAACCCAGGACTACCTAGCCAAGGGTGACCCCACTTGCAATGAACCGAGCCCTCCCCCATCAATCAGTAGGTTAAAAAAAAAAAAAAGTCCTACAGGCTTGCATACAACCTGATCTTATGGAGTTATTTTCTTGAGGTTCCCTCTTCACAGATGACTATAGCTTGTGTCAAGTTAACATAAAACTAGGTATGTAATCACATAAAATATTTGTCACAACTTTCTAACAATAGATAACAAAAGCTGACTTGTCCTGACAGGTTCTTACTGTCTCATCCTTGTGACACACGAGTGTCCTAAAACAACACAAGGACAGGAGAGAAACCAGGAGAAAATCCTCAGAAGACCCAAATAGCTCATCCCATCCCCAAGCTGGGGCCTGAGAGTTGTTATTGCCTATCATTTTCATTAACACAAAAACAAGAGCTACCTTTTTAAAATATTAGCATGTAGTAAAAATGAAAACCACTATACGTTTTTAAATTAATATATAACGTCTTTATGCCAGGTGTGGAAGTGCACACCTGTAATCCCAGCACTTGAGGAGCACAGGCAGGCAGATCTCTGTGAGTTTGAGGCCAGCCTGGTCTACAAAGGCTGGTCCAGGACAGCCAGGGATACACAGAGAAACCCTGTCTCAAAAAAACAAAAATTAAAAAAAAAAAAAAATAGGCATGATAGTTCCAGCCTATAATCCCAGCATTTGGGAGCAAAAAGAGGACTCCAAATTTGAGGCTAGTGTGGAATACACATACACATACACCCACAATCTCAAGATCTTGTCTAAAAATAAAAGACCAGAAGGATAGATAAAGCAATCTTTTCAGCCTTCTGATCTGAGTATCTATCCCTTAGCGTACCAAACCTGATGATACCAAACATAAGTACTTCCTCAGCAGATCACAAGAATGACCCACAGCTGAGCTCTTCTCCTGGAAGGTCTGTGTGCCAGAAACTTAAGTTCCCATAGAATAAAACACCATCATAACTTTAGCCAAATGCCAAACTCTGCAGGTTCCTCAACTCGAATATGGAAAGATAAGACTAAACGGTTTTAAGTGATTTTGTGTGTGTGTGTGTGTGTGTGTGTGTGTGTGTGTGTGTGTAGGCTGGGTATCTCTTCAATGCAAACACAGTATTTCAAGCAGTGTTCAGAATTAGTGGGCAGCAGCTAGTACAGAGACCCATAACTGGTCTAAGTGCTGAGAATAAGTGAATGTGCAGTGCTTAGCCCAAAATCGGACATCTCAATCACTCCTATACCCCAAAGGCTTATGGAAAAACAAAAAACGGGGGTGGAAAGAATGTAGAACCCAACAGGAGTCTTTGACATGTTGCCTTCAGGGCAGGACATGGCTACTATACTCATAAATGACTGCAGCTGTGGTCACCTGCAGAGCCCAAACCAACAAAAGCACTAACTGGGCTCAGTGGGTCATTCACCAAAAACAAAAAACAAAACAGGAAATGACACCAAGTGGGACGGGTGTGTTAGAGATGACTGTGGGGAAGAATAGCTGTGGTACCCATTATCAAGATATACTGTTTACCCATACAAAATTGACAAAGAATAAATAAAAGATACGCTCTTTCAAAAGAGAAAGAAAGCAGACAGATTCCTGACTCAGACCACCCTGACTTTTTGTACAGGGACACTTAACATTCTCACACATCTTCCAGAGGCTGTTTATAGGGCCCAGTCCTACAGTTCCAACCCCATGATTCTGGATGCTCAGTATGGCACTTAGGGTTTTTTGTTTTCTTTTGTTGTTGTTTTCAGATTTTTAGATACTTTTCAGAAACACTTTACTAACCAAACTAAGTCATCTTTATATGTTTTTTAAATTTTTGAAATTTTTTTTAGAAATTTTTGAATATAAAAAACCACATTGCATATATAGCAATACAGTTCTTTATGTATTAAGTGGCACCAAAATGGAATGATTTTACAGTTTTTAAACAGAAATAAAAAAAATTGAAAAAGGAAAATCTTCAGGTAACAAACTCTTCTTAAAACAATGCTTTTTAAAAAAATCCCACCCCGGGTGTGTGTGTGTGTGTGTGTGAGAGAGAGAGAGAGAGAGAGAGAGAGCAGGCATCAGATCCCCTGCAGCTACAGTTACAGCTTCGAGCTGCCTGATTTTTCAGTGTTGAGACCCCAACCCAGGTCCTCTGACAGCGCAGTAAGTACTCTTAACCACTGACCTATCCCTCTGGCCCAAAAATTTTATAGGATCTGATCATGAAATGAGATGGCAGTTTTCCAGAAACAAAGAAAGTGAAGATGATGAGCAGATGTTGGAGGTAATGAAGAACCAAGTCTCAGGCATCTTCTCAGTCACTTTAAAGATAAGGCCTTTCTTCACCACACCTTGGAGAGTTTAGAATGGAGGGTGCCAAGAGCGGACATGCAGAGAACTCTGGCATTCAGAAGAGAAAGGAGTAGAAGCAGAGGCCACAGAAACACAGAGCCACAAGGCCAAGAGTGAGAAATAAGGATAAAGGCCGGGAGTGCTGTGTACAGGTTTAATCCCAGCATTCAGAAGGCAGAGGCAAGCAGCAGATCTCCGTGAGTTCACAGTGAGTCACTGGTTAGCCAAGGCTACATAGTAAGACCCTGTCTCAATCAAAGGAATAAGGAAATGGAGTCCCAGACTCAAGGTAGGGAATCTGAACTCTTGCACTTTCTGTCAACAGATTGTGAACACCTAGAGATGGTGAAATGTTTTTAAATTTAAAATTATTTTTAAGACGTTTATTACATTTGTGTGTGTGTGTGTGTGTGTGTGTGTGTGTGTGTGTGTGTGTACAAGCATACATGTGAATGTCAGAGGGCAAACTTTCAGGTTTTCTCCCTCCTTCACATGGCGCCCAGGGATCAAATCAAACTGAGGTCAGTCTTTGCAGCAAATATCATTACTTATTGAACCATCTCACCATCCCAGTTAAACAGGGTGCTAACATATGTGTGTGGTACACACCCATATGCGTCCAGGTTCCTGTGCCCTTCCACAACCAGCATGATGATATTTTCCTTACTTGCTTTGAGACAGGTTTTCTCACTGAATTAGAAGTTGACCTTTTGGCTAGGCTGACAGGCTAGAGAGCTCTAGAATATCTTGTCTCTGCCTGGAAATTCTATTCTACAGGCACATACCTGTCTTCTTACATAGGTACTGGGGATTTGAACTCAGGTCCTCATGCTTACATAGTAAGTCCTCTTACCCACTGAACCCTCTCCTTAACCCCCTCACAAGGCTTATCCACAATATCTTTCTCCTACATTGTGGGTATCATAATCCAGGTAGAAGTACTGCTGTATTTCCGCATATGAAGAATCCTTCTGTAGCATGGCATCGTGGCACTTTAATCCCAGCATTCAAAAAAGGCAAGTGGATTTTTGTGAGTTCAAGGCCAGCCTAGTCTACATAGTGGGTTCCAGAGCAGCCAGGGCTATATAGATAGACCTTTTTTCCAAAACAAAACAACAACAAAAATCATTCTGAGGTAAGTGGAATAATGAAGGGGATGAACAAGAAAGAACAGTTGTGAAAAAGGAAGGAAGAAGATCCCTGATCAGTTTGAAGCTATCCCTGTAGCCCATCACTCACCAGAGTATGAGGAAACAGCACCCAGGGCAGGTCTCTTAAACTGAAAACTTTTCAGAGAAAATAAACATCAGTAAGTGTTAAAAAAAAAAAAAAAAAGCAATACTATATCTGGAAGCAGAGAGGAAATGTGACTCACCTGAGACTTGGCTTTAAGTTTAGTCCCTGTAGGGGCAGCTTCCTGTTTGCGGTTTATCTCCTGGAGGAAGTTGGTATCTCTGGAAAGCAGAGCTGGGGAAAAGGAAGGACTAGACACCAAGTCTACACAAGACTACCCCTGCATGAGCAAAGTGGGACCATTTTAAAAAGAGAGATGAGATCCCCTTATTACCTTGTGCAGGAAGAAGGAGAGGGTAGAATGGGAAGTGGGGGCTGTCTCTTTTTTGTCTTGCTTGCATATATGTGTACCACATGTGTGCCTAGTGCTCATGAAGTTCAGAAAAGGATGTTATATCCCCTACAATTGGAGTTAGGGATGGTTGTGAATCACCATGTGGGTGCTAGAAACCAAACCTGGGTCCATTGCAAAAGCAACAGTGCTCTCAACGACTGAGCCATCTCTAGCTCCCCTGGGAGTTTCATCTCTTGAAGCATGGACATGGAGACAAGTTGACCCTGAAGACTCAAGGTCCCTCCGGTAACTCTGCTTGACTGCTCTGGCTCAAGTTGTGCTTTCAAGGATTGATTCCCATTTAACCATCACACTCAGAGCCAAGAGACACCATCTCCAGCAGCAAGGCCTCGAGAATCCTCGGACCTTATTCTTCCTTCACACCCAAAATAGGTTCATCTTTGTCCACTCAGCTCGGACCCATGCCACTCACCTTTGTGTGCAGGCCGCGAGGTCACCCTTCCTTGCTCGCCCTGCGAGGCCAGAACATTCCTGGAGCGCGGCCTTCTCCGGGAGGGACGCCCACGAGCAGCTGTAGTCTCCGCCGCCGGACCTCCACCAGTTCTCGGCTTTGTGCAGAGGGCGCCGCACCCCAGGAGGACCCGGGGCTCGTTTGGCCCTGCCCTCGCTACCGCCGGCATGTCACGCAAGCGGCGCAAGCTCTTCTTGCCAGGCCGCAGACGCCCAGCAAGGCCACTGAAGACGGCCACACCCCTGCCACACCCGCACCGCCAGGCCACGCCCGGGCCAGCCACGGCCTCGCCCTACCTAACCTGGCCCAGAAGAAACTAACACTCACAGTTCAGCCCGAAGGCGCCGGAAGTGGACTTTGCTTGTGCGCATCGCCCGCTGGGAAATGTAGTCCCCAGCGGGGAACCAGATGGCGCCTAGCCCGGCCTCAGGGAGGCCGGCTCCACCTATTGGAGTAAGACCACGTTTGTGAACCGCGGGACCAGGCCGGAAACACGGGGTACAAAACAGCCCACTAGAGGTTTCTGGGAGTTGAGGTGGCAGTCAGAGCGTACGTGCGCAGTGGCAGGGCTCCTAACGCGTTGTTTTGAGGTTGATATGAGGGAAGGGAGTTGGAGGATGTTGTGTATTGAGCGGGGGTAATGCCGGGCGTTGACAAGTCCACAGTTGTTCAGGTTGGAGGTACTTTTCGGTTTGGTATTAAGTTGCTACCATCACCTTCCACTCTCCCCGGACCACCTCAACGCTAATGCCTAGTGTTCAAAATGCCCCTCTGCATGTACTCCCAAATCCTAGATATGCAGTCTTTCCCAGATTTCCTTCTGGGGATGCTCCTTTAAAATGATCTTCAGCTGGGCGCGATGGCGCATGCCTGTAATCTCAGCACTCAGAGATGCAGAGGCAGACTCAGAACCATTACCACCATCCAAGAACCAGGGCCCTCTACAGGAGCTAAACTCGTAGGTGCTGCCCTAACAGAAGCTGGAGCTATAAGCACTCAAGAGCTTGTGAAGGAATTTAAAAGAGATGTACCACTAGCAGCATCAACACCCAAAGTAGGAGGAACAGGGGAAACAGATTCCCTGTTTTTTCCCCAACTCTCAGTCTAACATCTTTGTCTCCCAGCGAATTATCCTTACAGAAACTAGGTGGCAAAAAGCCGCTGGGAAAAACCATTTGCAGACTTAAAATGCAATATATTATGTACAGGAAAAAGAGAATGGACTTAGGATAAACAACGAAAGGCAGGCATACAGTCAAACAAAACCTACCGTGAGATGGACTTTGCAAATATCAACAGTCCTCTGGAACAACTACAGTGCAAGTTTGGGCCCCCTATTTTCCTATTTCTGCAGTATGTACTCAACTTGGTTGTGATCTGTTGGTGGTGGTGTTGATGGTGATTTGGGTTTTGTTTTTGTTTTGTTTCAGTTTTCAAGATAGGGTTTCTCTGTGTAACTGTCCTGGCTGACCTGGAACTCGCTTTATAGAATAGGCTGGCCTCGAACTTACAGAGATCCGCTTACCTCTGTTCCTGAGTGCTGGCATCAAAGGCGTGCACCACCACCACCTATCGTTGTTTTTATTCAAGGTCTCACTATGTCACCCTGGATGCCCTAGAACTTACTCTGCAGACCAGGTTGATCTCAAACTCAAGAGATTCACCTGCCTCTACCTCCAGAGTGCTAGAATTAAATGTTTGTGCCACCAGAACCAGTCACAAATCCCCTTTTAAATTTTATTTTTATTTATTTGTAGATGTATTCATATGTGCACATTTGTGGGTGTGATCACCCATGTGTGCATGTGTGGACAGCAGAAGTCGATATTGGGAGTCTATTGCCTTCCACCTTATATTCTGAGATAAGATATCACGGTGACCCTGGAGCTCACTATTTTAGCTAGCATTATCTGCCAGGGGTTTCTTAATAAACATTAAAAATGTTTTGTTTTGTTTGCCTTGACTATATATACGATTGCATATATTTTCCCAAATAAATTCTAATTTTTTTGTTCCAGTCTTATTCAAAGTTCTAGGCACTTCCTAAAACAGATTCTGCAAATCACACCATATTTAATTTCTTTACCAATAAGGAAACATAACCTTGAGCATCATTAGAAAGTCGCTATATCATTAAACCTTAAACATACGGCACATGCTAATCCACCCACCTGAAGACATTCTCAATATTCTAAACTTTTATGATCACCTAAGCCATATTCCAAGTTCCAGAATTCATGGTTTACAAATAACATTTCTAATTTCTAGTGTAACACATTTTCTAAGCACCCCCTATGGGTCAGTATGGAGAGGTCCTAGAATTTTAAGTTCTCTTGATATCTACGTAATTAAAGTTTTAACTTTCCCATGCCAGAAGTATAGCTCAGTCACTCTTGGCACTTTCTAGTATCACACCATCCACAAATGGCTCAAAGCTAGTGCCAAGAGCAAGAATTCAAAAGCATTTCCACTGTCTAATTGTGCTCCCTGCTCCTACCACTTGTCTTAAATGGACTACTACAAATGGACTGGACACATAGGCCACAATGATCACTTTTCACATAAGACGACCTCCCAGAACTTATGCCTGCTTGTTTCAACTCAACAAAGAAAATCTGTACCCCTGGACCCAAGAAAGCATTGGCTCAGGGACGTCCCCTCATGTTCCATTAGCTCTGTGTAGCCTCTGTATTCTGTGTTGATGTATCTCCTAATTGCTGGAGGGATGCTCTGCACCCAAACTTAACATAGTCACTCCTGTTGGTAAGCATTTCATGTGCATTAAATAAACACTTGGCAATGAGTCTTATAAGAGGCATATAAAGAACATTTATATTCTTAAAAGTTTCCCTGACTGTAAAATGAATAATAAACTTGAAGGAAACATGACCAATTACAGGCACCAAGTAAAATAATTGTGTTTTGGATCAGGCTAATGGGAAGAAAAATAAATGGAAATACTTAGCAGGTATAGATACAGGGGAATGCCTGAGATGAGACTGCATGGAGAACTCACCAAGGATGGATGGTTTAAGAACACTGCTGAAGACTTTTCCACATTCCTTACAACTCCTCGTAGAATAAAGTGAACAATCTGGTTGAAAGTTAGAGTCACTGATAAATGGTAAAGGTTTCTCAGTAGCTAAGGGTTTGCCACTAGGTATACAGTTTTAAGCTTTCCAGTGTGACATCTTTGGTGACAATTAAGGGATGACTTTGTTCTGAAGGCCTTTCCACATTTATCACAGACATAAGGCCTCTGACCTGTGTGAAGTCTCTGATGGTGAGCACGGGATGAGCCATCACCAAATGCCCTTCCACATTCAGCACATGTATAAAGTTTCTCTCCAGTATGAACTCTCTTATGTCTGATAAGGTAGGCAGTATAAGTGAAGGTTTTACCACATTCGTTACACTCATAAGGTTTCTCTCCTGTACGGATTTTCTGATGTCTGGCAAGACAGGTGCTTCTTTTGAAAAATTTACCGCACTGCTTACATTCAAAAGGCTTTTCTCCTGTGTGATTTCTCTGATGAGTGGTCAAGTGTGAACTTTCCCTAAAAGCTTTCCCACATTCCTTACATTCATAGGGTTTTTCTCCAGTATGAATTCTTGAATGAACAAGAAGATGTACACTCTGCCGAAAGCTTTCCCACACTCCTTACATATATAAGGTTTCTCTCCAGAATGTACTCTTTGATGGCCAGTGAGTGACATGCTATGGCTAAAGGCTTTCCCACATACATCACACTTGTAGGGCTTCTCACCTGTGTGAACTCTGTGGTGCACAGTCAGGGATGACCCACTACGAAAGGCTTTCCTGCACACACTACATTTGTAAGGCTTCTCTCCGGTGTGAGTTCTCCTGTGCAGGGTAAGTCCTATGTGAACACTGAAGACTTTCCCACAATCAGTGCAATCAAATGGCTTCTCTCCAGTATGATAATGTCTAAAGTGACGAGTAAGGGACATGTTGTACCTAAAGGCTTGCCCACACTCAACACACTGAAAGGGTCGTTTGTCATTGTGACATCTCTGATGTTGAGCAAAGGTAGAACTGTCCCTGAAGGCCTTCCCACACTCCTTACACTGATACGGTTTCTCCCCAGTGTGAATCCTCTGATGCTGAGCCAGGTGTGCAGGCTGCCTGAAGGATTTTGTACATTCCTTGCACTTAAATGATTTTTCTCCAGTATGGATTCTTTGATGTTCAATAAGGTATGAATTCTGGCTAAAGGCTTTCTTACATTCCTTACACTCATAGGGTTTTTCGTGGGTATGTGTCGTTTGAGCAAGGTGGTGACTCTGCTTGAACGCCTTTCTGCAGACTGTGCATTTATATGGTTTTTCACCAGTGTGGATTCTCTGATGAACAGTAACAGATGAGCTATGTGTGAAGGTTTTCTCGCATTCATTACATTTAAAAATGTTCCTCCCTGACCAGATTTTCTTGTATCTTTGTACCTTGGGATTTTTGGAAAAGCTTTTCTTATTTAAGTTGTGACTATAAATATTCTCTTCTACACTATCCAGATGGGCAGATTTTGAAGATTTGGTGTTTTTGTAGCCTATTTCTTTAGTGTGAGTTTCTTTATGAGTGACTCTTTCTTTTATGTTAAATATTTCTTGATTCATCATCCGTCTATCAAAAAGGTCTTTATGTTTCCATTTGTTTCCAGAAGTGGGACACTCATGACCGAAACTTGTAATTTTCTCTACTGACACATCATCAAACACAAATTGCTTCAGAGATAATTCTTGTGTCTTATGTAGAGATTCGCCATCTGAAAAATGTAAAAAAAAAAAATTAAATTAAATTAAAAAAAATGTATTCTTTATCATGTGGAATTAACAACAACAACAAAAAAATCTAAAGTAAAGATATTAAAAACTATTTAATAAATTCCATACAATCACATAGAAGTATCTCAATTGGAAAATGTGCAAGGATTACATGAGAATAAAAGCTTTGTGATAGGGACTGGAGAGATGGCCCAGAGGTTAAGAGCACTGGCTGCTCTTCCAGGGCTCATGAGTTTAATTCCCAGCAACCGTGTGGTGGCTTACAACCATCTATAATGAAATCTGGTACCCTTTTTTTTTTTTTTTTTGTAAATACATGAGGTTTTTTAAATTGTATACGTGTTCGAACCTGGGACTGGTGCCCTCTTCTGGCGTGAAGGTGTACATGCAAAACACAACATTGTATACAAAATAAATAAATAAATCTTAAACAAACAAAGAAAAAAGATGAGTTCCCTAGTAATGAGAACAGGGACTGTCTATGACATGAACTCTGCAGCTGGCTCTTTGACTATCTCCCCATGAGGGGGAACAGCCTTGCCAGGCCACAGAGGATAATGCAGCTAGTCCTGATGATACTGACAGACTAGGGTCAGATGGAAGGGGAGGAGGACCTCCCCTATCAGTGGACTTGGAGAGGGGCTTGGGAGGAGAAGAGGAAAGGAGGGTGGGATAGGGAGGGAATGAGGAGGCTACAGCTGGGATACAAAGCAAATAAACTGTAATTAATATAAAAAAAAATTTTAAAAGCTTTGTGATAAATTAACCTTGTGATAATGTAACATGCTTACATTTGTTAATCTGTGGTAAATTAACCTTGACTACCAAGTCTATTGAATGAAAAATTACATAAAAGCCCAATAAAGCACACCTCGCATTTTATGTGAGGTTGTTTCTGAAGTGACTAACTAGGGAGGCCATGCCTTCCTGAACATGAGTGTCACTGTCCAATACGCTGGGAGATTGCAATAAAGGAAACAGAAGGAGGAAATTCAGCAGCAGGGGTGGTTTCTGTTTGATGCCTGGCTACCATGAGTGAATAGCTTTCCTCCACCATACCCTTCCCTCACTTCCACAAGTCCAAAAGCAATGCAGCCAGCTGAACACAGATATAAACTTCTGAAACCATGGGCCAAACTAAATCCTCCCCCTCTCAAGTTATTTGCAGCAGGCACTTTGTCAGAGTGAAAGAAGCAAATATGACTGCAAGGAAGAGATAGAAAAGAACAAGAACATGGGAAAAATGACTAGGAAAACTAAGTATAAGACCTAGGAGAAGTCACCTGCAATGATAATGTTATTTTTGGCCTAAATATACATATTTATATGTATATATACATATTCATTCAATATGTATGTATGAATGTTTTGTCCGCATGTATGTTTACACACCATGAGCATGCGTGCTGCCGGGGCCAGCCGGGCAGAGTCGAACGGTTCTTGAGTTGGGCGTGAGGATTAAAATTAATAAAATGAACACACAGCACACAGGAAACTTTTTAAAGGTCCAGACTCAACAGCCATGGCAAAAGGCAGACTGCTGCAGCAAGCAGTGCCAGCAGCAAGCCTCAAGTCTCTGCCTCCAACTCTGTCTCTAGCCTTCTTTTGCCGTAACTGTCGGCTTGTCTTTTTATTGTAGAGTTTCTGAGCCAGAGTAGAAACATCTCAAGAACAATAGGTTAATTTGCACAAGGAGCTAGAGGAAGAGGTGTAACCCTCACAAGCTATCCCACCTGCTGTCACAAACAAAAAGAGATGGACTTGCAAGTTCTCTGCCATTAGTAAAGGCCTGCTAAAAGCCATCTCTCCACCGAGATTTAAATATCAAAGCCGGCAGCCTGCTCCCTGCAGAGTTCAGAAGATCCCCTGGAACTGGAGAGTTGGGAGTTGCCATGTGGATGCTAGAAATGGAATCCAGTCTTACTCACTGAGTCATCTTTACAGCCCCATGTTTCCTACTTTTGATTAGTGTATATAATTAAGTTAATTTAGTTAATATAATATAACTGATTAGTGTATATAATTAATTTAGTTTAACTACCAGTATATTTAATTACCATTGCTTGTAGGAACTCTCTAGAGTTCTCAACAACCACACACACATGCTCTATGACTTCTCCTAGAATTTAAAGGCAAGCGTCTTTATATATATGGTTATAATTTCATCATCAGAAAATAGTGCTCCTAAGTCCATCCTTTATGTGTTTGTGTTTCAGTGTATCCAGCCCTTTATTTCTCATACAATTCAGGCTTCAGAGTAAAAAAATTCTTCATTCATTTTCCTGCTTTCAACAACTTTAAAAAAGTGTCACTTTTTAGTCCAATTTAATATAGGGTTTTGCTGTTCTCTGGGATGTTTAGGTGAAGGTGTCTCAGTGAGGGACTGTCGAGATGAGACTGGATTGTGAGTATGTCTGTGGAGGATTGCCCTGTCTGAACTGACATGGAAAGAATGAATACAGGCAGCACCATTCTCAGCTCTGGGGCCCTGTAATGTATAGGAGTAGAGGAAGCTAGCTGAGCAAAGGCATGCATGCTTTCACTCGTTCGGCCCTGTGACCAGCTGTTTCAAGGTGATGCCACTATGAACTCTCTACAATGATGAACTATGATATGAAACTGCAAGCTTTTACTGTCCTCCTTAAAGCTGCTTTTGTCAGGAACCTTTATCACAGCAGCAGGAGTGGAACTAGGACATTCTCTTTTGTATTAAACAACTTTGTACAGAGATAAAAGGAAAGTAGAAGAGACAAGAGTGAAACAGAAGGGAATCCATGCCAAGAAAGGAAACTTCAGGTCACACTCAGGACCAAAGGCTTAGGAAGAGTTTCTGGGAAGCCTCAGCAAGGATGTCAGGACCTGTGACAATGGTCATTTCCTACAAGGGTTTTCCACCTGCTTTTCACAGTCTTACCTTGTAATGTGCTTCTGATCAACTCACCCTTCACCTCCCAAGGCTCCTTCCAATGCTCCAATAAGGAGATCAGATATGGTTTGGAAATGCAAGCTCCTGCATTAAATAAATAAATAAATAAATAAATAAATGAATGAATGAATGAATGAATGAATGAATGAATGAATGAATGAATGAATGAATGAATGAATGAATGAATAAATAAATAAATAAATAAATAAATAAATAAATAAATAAATAAATAAAAGGGGGGTTACAGAAATAGGTCGAGTTTTGGGTTTTTTGGCACATAAGTCAGCCCCTTAAATCTGATACAACTACAAAATAAAAGGATCAAACACATTTGATGGGTAGACTACATAAAACTTCGTGTTACGGTCCAGTGGCAGCTGTCAACAGTCAATCTTATAGAAATTACACTATTTCTTATGGAGTAGTGGAAGGGCAAAAATTTAGCTCAGTATTTTTTAAAGGAGCATCACAGTAATAAATGAGATTTTTTTTTTTTTGAGACAGGGTTTCTCTGTGTAGCCTTGGCTGTCCTAGACTCATTTTGTAGACCAGGCTGGTATTGAACTCAGAGTGATCCACATGCCTCTGCCTCCCAGAGTGCTGAGATTACAGGCATGCACCACTGAGATATTTTTTAAATGGCCTGCGAGGGGATACGTGTAAAGAGATTGCTCAGCACTTGGGAGCACATTCTGATAAGAACTAGGTTTAGTTTTCAGCCCAAGTAACAGGCAGCTCAGGTACCTGTAACTCCAGCTCCAGGAGATCTAACAGCCTCTTCTGCAAGCAACTACACTCACATGTACATATAGACATATATGCACATACATTTTTGTTTTGTTGTTTTTGAGACAGTTTTTTCTATGGAGCCTTGGATTTCCTGGAACTTGATCTATAGATCAAGTTGGACTAGATCCGCCTGCCTCTACCTCCCAAGTCTAGGGATTAAAGGCATGTGCCAATACTGCCTGGCAGAGTGTGTGTGCATGTGTGTGTATTTTAATACAAATGAAATCTTTTAAAAATTAAAATAAATAATGTTTTAAAGGCCTGCTAGAGGCAGTTTGGAGTTTGAGTTAATGAACTACCTGTCTAAAAATGAACAAAGCATAGGAGCTTGTGATTGTAATTCCAGCACTTGAAACCCTGTTTCAAAACAAAGAACACTCTTCAGAGAACAGGGACAGAATCCAGAGTCTGTAGATTTCATTTTCAGTATCCACAATAAAATCCAAATGAGCTGAGAAGATGGCTCAATGGGTTAAGCACTTGTCACGTAAGCATGAAGATCTGAATCTTAATTTCCAGAACCCATGCAAAGCTACACACAGGAGCACAAGTTTAATCCCAGCTTCCCTATAGTAGGATGCAAGGTGGAGGCAAGAGAATCCCCAGAAGCTTACTGACAAGCCTGTCATGAGCTGCAGATGAACCCCAAAAGGTGGAAGGTGAAGACTGACATCCAATGGTTGTTCTCTGAATTCCACACACTGTGACATGTACACACTGTACTTGCTCCACACATGGATGTGCACATATACAAACGCACAACACACACACCAAAACTATTTTTAAGATACATTTTTTTAAAAGGAGGTATGTGGTACATGCTTTTAATCTCAGCACTCAGAAGATAGAGGGAGGCAGATCTCTGTGGATCTGAGGCCAAGCCTGGTCTATATAGTAAATTCCAGGACAGCCAGGGATACCCTGAGACAGGGATGACCCTGTCTCAAAAACAAAAAAGGAAGGAAGGGAGGGAGGGAGAAAAAAAAGGGAAGGAGGAATGGGAGACAAAGAAGGAAGGAAGGGAGGGAGAGAAAGAAGAAAGGGAGGGAGGGAGGGAGGGAGGGAGGGAAGGAAGGAAGGAAGATAAGAAAGAAAGAAAGAAAGAAAGAAAGAAAGAAAGAAAGAAAGAAAG